ACCAGCAGCCATGTGGGCTTGTCCAACAGTCAACTGCCGCCGGAGCAGTGCGGCGAGGTGAGCAGCAGTCGCGAGCATGAGCATGTGTGCAGTGCCTGCGGTCTGGTTATGCCAGCCAGCAATGGCACTGAAATGCAGAACCACACAACAGCAGCAACAGAAGCAGCAGCAGGAGAAGCAGGAGGAGATGCAACAGACACAGTTACAGCCACGGCAACAACAGTGGACAGCACATTAAAAACAGATGCGGCCACATCGGATGAAGTGCGTCCCAAGCCGCTGTTGGCGGCCATTAAAAAGCAGGGCGTCTCCGCGGAGAGCTCGGTTCAGTCCAAGCAGCAGTCCTACACTGAAACTATACCCAAATACGAGAAAGATTACAGGTGAGCGACTCTTGATGAGCAACGGGCCCATTCGTACAACTACATCTATTGTATAACTTCAGCGCCAAGCAGCAGATCAAGGATGCGATCATGGATAATGATTTCTTGAAGAACATCGATGCCTCGCAGGTGCGCGAACTGGTGGACTCCATGTACTCCAAGAGCATTGAGTCGGGCGAGTTTGTCATCCGCGAGGGCGAAGCCGGCGCCCATTTGTATGTCTCTGCGGCGGGCGAATTCGCCGTCATGCAGCAGGGTAAGGTGCTGGACAAGATGGGGCCAGGCAAGGCGTTCGGTGAACTGGCCATACTCTACAACTGCACACGCACCGCCTCCATACGGGTGATCAGCGAAGAGGCGCGGGTCTGGGTGCTGGATCGCCGCATTTTCCAGCAGATCATGATGCGCACCGGGCTGCAGCGCATTGAGAATAGCGTGAATTTCTTGAAGTCGGTGCCGCTGTTGCGCAATCTCAGCGACCAGCTGCTGGCCAAGATTGCGGATGTGCTGGAATTGGAATTCTATGCGGCGGGCACGTATATCATACGCCAGGGCACGGCGGGCGACAGCTTCTTTCTCATCTCCCAGGGCAATGTGAGAGTTACGCAAAAGCTGACCCCCACCGCGCTGGAGGAGACGGAGCTGCGGATCCTGGGTCGCGGCGATTACTTTGGCGAACAGGCGCTCATCAATGAGGATAAGCGTACGGCCAATATCATTGCGCTGGCGCCGGGCGTCGAGTGCCTCAGCCTGGATCGAGAATCGTTCAAGCGGCTCATCGGCGATCTATGCGAGCTGAAGGAGAAAGATTATGGGGATGAGGATCGCATGCTGGCCATGAAACAGGCGCAGGCCCAGAGCGAGGAGTCGTTCGGTGCGCAGGCACAACAGGAGTATCCGGATTTAAAGCTAACCGATCTTGAGGTGATCAGCACACTGGGCATCGGAGGCTTTGGTCGCGTCGAGCTGGTCAAGGCGCATCATCAGGGTCGCGAGGACATCTTTGCACTGAAGTGCTTGAAGAAGCGACACATTGTGGACACCAAGCAGGAGGAGCACATCTACAGCGAGCGCAGCATCATGCTCAGCTCGAACTGTCCCTTCATCTGCCGTCTCTATCGCACATTCCGGGACGACAAGTACGTTTACATGTTGCTGGAGGCGTGCATGGGCGGCGAAATATGGACGATGCTGCGTGACCATGGCTCCTTCGATGACAATGCGGCCCAGTTCATCATTGGCTGTGTCCTGCAGGCCTTCGAGTACTTGCATGCCCGTGGCATACTCTATCGGGATCTCAAGCCGGAGAATCTCATGCTGGACGAGCGCGGCTATGTGAAGCTGGTGGACTTTGGCTTTGCCAAGTATATTGGGAATAGCGCCAAAACGTGGACGTTCTGTGGGACGCCCGAGTATGTGGCGCCAGAGATTATTCTCAACAAGGGACACGATCGAGCCGTGGACTATTGGGCTCTGGGCATACTCATACACGAGCTGCTCAACGGCGCGTAAGTCTGCATCGGAAAATCAATGAATCTGCGCACTCCCACTAAGAGTTTCCCTTTATCCCAAACAGTCCACCGTTTACTGCGCCCGATCCCATGCAGACTTATAACCTAATCCTAAGGGGCATCGACATGATCACATTTCCCAAGCACATCTCACGCTGGGCCGTGCACCTGATCAAGCGCCTCTGCCGGGATGTGCCCTCCGAACGTTTGGGCTACCAAACAGGCGGCATACAGGATATCAAAAAGCACAAGTGAGTGGATATACTAGTGGGGCTAGCTCATGGAGCCACTTGAACTTAACAATTGTTGCACTACTCCCTAGATGGTTTCTCGGCTTCGACTGGGATGGCCTGTCCAGTCAGCTGCTAATACCGCCCTTTGTGCGGCCCATTGCTCATCCCACGGACGTGCGTTACTTTGACCGTTTTCCCTGTGATCCCACTGAGCCGCCTGATGAGCTTTCTGGCTGGGATGCGGACTTTTAGCCTAATAGAATCCTATGCCCTGTACCCAATGCACCCATTACCAAGTATTGTGGAAATTGAAATCTCCTTCTTTTTAGAACGATGAGCTAGTCTGTCTGACTGACTTAAATATATATATGCTACATATTTTACGTTTGTTGGGTACAGGGTATCTGCTAGTCGGACGCACTCGGCTATAGTACTCTCGTTTTTCTTTGTTGCACTAGTTTACTTGACTTTGAACTTATTTTGAATAAATAGCAATGACATAGAATTTTTGTAAGACTCCTTCAAAGTTGTCGAAATGCATTCGGGTCGTCTTCGAAGCGGGCTTCGCGGATAGGTTTGCTGGCTGCCAGCTGCCGTTGCATTTGCGCGTAACGGTCCTTTAGTGGGGCGTAGATCTTGTCACAATTAGGAGTTGGCTCGCACGCCAGCTTCAAGTAATCTGGAGAGTTTTGAATGAACTCAGAGTAGCTGAGTTGCGGCTGACTGCCATGGCGTATTTTGCACTTACAGCAATTGCAATTGACCTCACGATACTCATAGAAGGCATAGCGGGCCCTATAGGCGGCTCCCATGAGACGCGGATCAGCGGGCATTTCATACCGGTAGACGGGCGCATTGAAGACGTCGGCTACAATCTGGAGTATGCTGCTGTTGCTAGAGTGCTCGCCAATGGCTATAATTCTGGTATTGCTGTCTATGATGAGCCCGGTACCGACGACAATTCCACAATGATGCATCATTTGGGCCTCGATGACGGCTCGGGCCTCGAACCGCGGCTCGAATCGCTGTCGTCCGGTTAGTGCCTCGGTAGCTAGCTCAGAGATGGCACTATCCCAGCGCAGAGTGCCTTGTGCCTTGGGTGTCAGCTCCATTTCATCAAAATGAATTGCAATGTTACCCTCATTGCCGATGGGCGTGTCGGCCAACATTTCATCGAATTGTGTCCAGCTGCCGTCGGCCACTTCCTGGCAGATTCGCTCTCGCACTAGGCCGCCATTGGGGAAACGAAACAGGCTCATGTATGCATTCGGAATGGTTGGATGGCACATGGTCTGTCCTTCTTCTTCGGTATTGCATTCCATAGTTGGCAGTATGATCATATCGTGCTGGCTGAGCGATAGAATAATAACATTCTCCTGATCCTTGATGCTGGCCAACAAGCTGGAATTGCTGTTGGTGGCCGCGACAATCATGCAGTCGGATCTAAACTTCCAGCGAGTCACATAGTACTTGTTAATGCGTCCCTGCAGTCGGTTCGTGGCAATCGGCGGCATGAGCCGTGATGCTAATTCTGGTGCACAAGCCTCCAAGAGGACCTTCGACCACTCCTTCTCATGTATGTCCAAGAGATTCATTAGCGAGCCGTCAGAGTGGTCAATGGAGGCCATGGTGCCAGTCAGCAGCGATGCCAGGAAGCTGCTTATTAGCGATATGCGAACTGTTCTTTGGTATTCGTCCGGATAGGTCACATGGACATTACGTATCTCAGGGCCCGTCAAGCCGGCAAATGCATGAGATCCAGTGATTTTCTTCAGTTTTCTAGCGCCACCAACTGCTTTATCCATCGCACTGCACTGAGTGTGAATGCAATCATCATTCACCCAATAAAGCGAGCGCAAAGTGAAACATTTTTCCGTCAGCTGCTCGTGCAGGCTCGTCAATGCACTGAGGCCACAGAGCGCCCGCAAACCGGCCAAGGACCAATATATGGCGCCATGATGATGTGCTGCACCAGCGATGGCTGCCACCTTATATAAATCGGCGCCCTGCGACACCAGGCAATTGAACAGTATGTGCAATGCCTTGATATACATCACGGGATTCACCTCAAATTGATCGAGATCCACGCCGGGGTTGACACCCTTTTGGGTTTTGTATTCGGGCAAATCGACATCATAGCGTATTACAGCATTGTGAATCAGCTCAAACTTGGAATTCAGAATCACGGCCTCCAATTTCTCAATGCCCAGGTGGATGCCCATGTAGGTATTTAGGCTGTAGTCTGGCGGGGCTCTGTGACACATTGCAGTCGGTCCACGGAGAAATATGCAACGAAAACGAGTTTAACTGTAAATTTTGAAAATGAATAAACTATACACATCTGACATACAAAAATCCAAAATTATACTAGAGAAAACATGTTGAAGTCATTTAGCGTAGATAGAGGTTGGGAATCATAATAAATAATGAGCATTATAAGAAGCAATAATAGTTAATAATTTGAAATTACTTGAAGCATTTTTAGGGGATATCTGTTTGGCATTTAACTCTAGGTAGTCCATGCTCTATACAATTTCATGTGAAACAAGATTCGATTTGATTAAGGTTACCAAATGCACTGTAATATGGTACAGTACAGTAGAATCCGGTTATAGCCACTCCACTTTTAGCGCCCGTGCGTTTATTGCGACGAAAATTCGTATACAATTCCCGGGTATATTGCCGGTCCCTTAAGAGTCGTTATAACCGAACTCAACTGTATATTGATTTATCATTAGTAAAATATTAATGAATTTATGCTGATATCTGTAAAAGAAATATCCCTTTAGGCACGTTGAATGCTGACAAGGAAAAATCTAGAACGAAAAACAAATTGTCTGATTGAGTTCACTCAAAATTTATTATTTTGGTTCAATAAATATAGACATAAATCTTGTATATAATAAAATCCAAGCGCTTTTCAATCATATGCACAAATTGAATACAAATCGATAATCAATTGAAAATAATCGATAACTCCTTCAGTTAGTTCTGTTGATCAAGCCTTAAACTGTTTGTGATCTACGCTGTTCGGTGATCTTGAACTGTAGCAACACCACCAAATAGGTGGCCATGAAGGAGATGTTCGTGGTGATCAATTCGCGATTGATGTTCGCATAGCCATCGAGATTCATGATGGGCGGATTCTTGTTGATAGCAACCAGCAACATGTCCACTTCCTTTTGTGTGGCAGTGTCCACGGCAGTTAGATTAATGTTGAGCAATTTGGTCTGGAACTCCATGCCCACCTTGTGTGAGGCATAGTGCGCCTCATTGCAGATGATGTACAGCAGGCACATGCAGTAAAAGACGATGACGAAGAGACCCACCTCCTTGTAGGTGGCGCCATGATCGATGATCTCGCTAATGCTGCCGTAGGTGGCAATGATGCTGGTGAAGAAGATCACCAGACAGTACATGCCGTACATGTTCGAGTAGGCGCGTCCCAGCTGCTGCATCATGTGGCTCAGATCCACCCAGAGATGTCGATACTCCGTTAGCTTCTGGGCTGGCTTCTCGCCCTTAATGGTGGCCTGCAGCGCATCCGATAGGGCGTGGCTGGCCGTGCCAAAGGCATTGCAATTGATGTACCACAGGCTGCAGAAACAATTCAGCATCGCGATGATTGGATAATAGGCGAAGGTGTACCATAAGCGAAAATCGGGCTGCAGAAAATACTGCGACAGATTTATGGCGATGCTGAGCAACCAGGAGAAGACGCAGAGTGCATAAGTCAGCGGGTACAGATTCGGGAATACGATGGGCGAGCCCGTCGTCTTGAAGAACTTGTACTGATAGTTCGTCCACATGTTCTTGAAGATGGCCACCTGAGGGCCATGGCGCCAGCTAGCGACGGGCAGCAGAAAGTTCGTGAAGAGCAGACTGATGAAGATGACATTGTAGATGGCCTCGTCGAAGCGTTTGTCCGGGCTGGTGATGAACTTCTTGACACGCTCTCGCAGCACCAGCACCACAATTGTCGTTTGGCAGCTGTAGATGAATACGGCCCACATTACCTGCTTGGATCGCCACGAGTAGCCAGTGCGCGGCATATTTCTCACGGGCGGATTACGATGTATGGGCATGACGCCCATGATCTGGAACAGCACTAGCAGACTTTTGGTGGTCTTGTAGAATGAGTCGTGCTTGTCCAGCTCCAGTGGATCATCCACGGTGTCCGGTTTGCGCACGTAAACATCATCGATGGCATTGCCGCCGGCCAGCATCTTGAGCTTCTCTCGATAGCGCAGCTCGTCCTCCAGAAATTGTCGCTGATTGGGATTCAGCATGGGCGCCACTTTGCCTTGCGGCGTTAAGCCGCGACTAACCGCCCAGAAGGACATGATGTGGACAATAGCTTGGAGCCAACACCGATGCCACAATCCTTGCCAGGCTTTTATATGGCCCGCTTCTGCTATTGACTTTTGATTGAAAAGCAAACAAAAGTGCGAATGCCGCCTACGGGGCGTACCGCTATTTGTTTGCTCTCCATTAAATATAGCCCGGAATATCGTATATGTATATACCATATATAGCCGTCGGGCTGTGTTTGTTGTGGTCATTTGATGTAGCCTTCTCATGCACTGCCGCGTGGCTATTTTGCTGACAAAGAACTGTCCCCTGTAATCGGGGACAGGACATGGCGTGAATAATGCTACGCCTCTGTGTCCCTGTGTCTATGGCACTGTATGTGTGAGTGTGTTTTTTGGGCCAGGGTAGAAGGTGTATAGAATGCGCTTAATTTGCCGGAAATGAAAGTTTAACGATGTGTAAATGCTTACGAATGCCCGATAGAGGCTCGCACTAATGACCAATAAAAATGTGGCACCGCTGACCCAATGAATGTAGTTTCGCCTCTTGTCCTTCGTTGTCTGGATGTGTGTGTATGTGTGTGTGTCCGACTTTTGATCCATTTCTGCCTGACTTATTCAAGGCCAAAGTCAATTCAGAGGCTCGCTCAAGATTAAAGTCAAAATCTATTGAACAGCGGTTGCCACTCAGTCCAGACGCTGCCTGGCTGAGGCAGCTGTTTGACAAGGCATACACACACACATAGCTCTCGCACACTCGCTGCAGAGTCAGCGCAATTTAAAAATGTGTTTAAAATAGACTTTGCTCAAGTCCAAACACTTCAAAGGCAGCATTTAATTTTCTCAGGCACTTGCCCAACTGTTGCCTGTTTTATTTTTGATTTTTATTTTATTCTGCTCTTTACGTGGTAGAGTGTATTATAAATTTAACATGCGTTTTGGTAGCACCCTGAAATAATAATACAAAGAAGTAATTTAATTTTTGTTTTTAATTCTGAAAATATTCTGAAATGTAAAATATTTTAATTTTTTGTATCAAACAGACAAATTGCTATTTTTGTCATGTCAGATTTCGTTACAACTGCTGCAGATGACTCAATTGTAATTTTTGCTTTTATCATTAACAAAATACACTTCATGTTTTTGCCAATCAATTTTATTTATTTATTTTTGTTTTTTTTTTATTTTTTTTTTATGACAACTAATGTTTCAAATGTATAACACATTTTATATTCTCATTGAAATGCACTATGAAAATTGGTGAAAAAAAGGAAATGAATTGATTACTGATATGTAGATCAACAATTGTTAGCTACTTTTTTATGAGCGTTTTTCAGCATATGAATTTTGTTGTAGCTTTGCATTAATACTGTAGTCTATTAAGGTTTATTTAAAAAAAGTAAAACAAAGTGAAGTAGAATTTAAAAAAACATATCCTGATTTCCTGCTTTCAATGGCATCAGCGTATGACGAAAATTGTATGACAATAGCTCGAGTGGTATAGAAAATATTTAACATTTAGGGAGAGGATGCTTTTCTGGGGATAATATATGCTTATATATACTTACCCAACATGTATGCTCCGAGATTCTGTTTGGTATAATTCATATGTAGCTTATATACAATTATTTTGTACCTTTATAGAAAGAAAAGATAAAGCAAACTTTTTTTTTTTTTTTTTTTTTGTAAAATTGTTATCTATATAAATATTTCTTTTAGATATCACAGAAAGCTAGAAGGGCATTATAAGTACTTATATAATTTTACCCAAGCCCAAATAGCTCCATTCAGTTGGGAATACCCAAATACAGAGTATCTTGCACTTCGTCATTCTGTCAACTGCAATATCTTTCTCTCAGCCTCCTCCACCCCGTTGTTTGCATTGCATCTCTAAATTTTCGTTTGCTGCTCCTTCGTCGTGCTGCTTCATGCTGCTTGATGCTGTTGTTGTCGTCTCTGCTATTTTCATTGCAATAGTTTGGCAAACTCTGCTTTCGTTTTAATGCGAAAACTTTGAAAACTAACGACGAGCAGCTCCAAATAAATAAAGTGTTTAGCTTGTTTTTTATAGCCGGATGTACAGGATAAACATTTTGTGTGACATAATTGCAGCCAAGTTGGCCGGAAGATGTGCACAAATTTAAAAAACACCCAAAAACAAAAAAGATATATATATGAGAAAGCAAATAAAAACACTTGAAGAAACTTGCTAGCTAGAGCATTGCTAAGTTCAGTCTAGCTGGCATTGGACATGACTGAGATTATATTTTAATTAACATGAATATTCTAGAGATAGTTTATGTTGCGCATCAGAAGTTGGGGCAAACTCTTCATTCTATCATTCCGAATTATCAAAATTCAACAAATTAAAATATTTGTACTTTAATTTAAGGACATTTGCTTGAATTCCATTTGGGTAAATCCATCAGAGAGACACAATTGCAACGACTTGAGTCGTGTCACGCGTACAGCTCTAGGCTGCATGTCCTGCCAGCAGTGTGTCTGTAGACTTACCGCTGCAGCTGTCTTTGTGTTGAGCCATCTTCTTCAACGTCTTGTTGCTGGGCCCGAGCTAGGTGCGGCTTCAAGGTCTTCTCGTTGCCTGTGTACGTGTACGTGCCACATTCGTTGTCTGCCTGCCACATGAACGACAGACAGTCACAACGAGCAGCTGTCATGGCCGCCAGCTGTCAACTGGAGCTGATCATCGCGTTGTGCAGCGAACAAATTACATTTCGATTTCCGTTTTCCTTTCCTTTCTGCCTCGTAGTCATTTTTCTCTCAATCACACACACACACATTCACATATACGTGTTGCCCTTTCGCCCACCTAGCAGTGCATTATGCAACTGTCTCTGCCGCAATCGGTTGAGGTCCGCTCGGAAAATGTGCTCTACAGCAAAAAGTTTTATTAATATACTATGTAAGAGGCGCGCGTGGGATTCCAGATTAGCCTTTGCTATTGAATACTGGCTTTTCTATGAATCATAGCCTAATACAATTACTACCATAAAATACAATTGCATTGAGTTATATATAAAGGCTGGAAATACAATCAAGTTTAAAGAGTAAACTTGAATTGAGCTAAGAATGATTACAACAGCAACTGGCATTAGCTTTAAAGCGTGCTTCAGCATCGAACGGTTGTAGACTCAATTCCCGGGGGCAACATTTATCTGGAGACTGTTTTGGGCAGCAAGTTTGCTAACAAAGGTCAATTGGCCAGCTTGGAAAATAAAACTAAAAATAAAATTTGATAAGAAAAACTGCAAATTGTTTTTTAAATGAAAACATTTGAAGTGATTTTATTTTTATCTATTAAATATATATTATTGTGTTCCAATTTTTGTTTGCATTTGGAGCTCAAACCTGATTTTCTATTCTACTATGAGTATAAAGTGTATATAACACTTTCTGCTCTTTAAAAAATGAATGAAATGATGAAAAAAATAAAAATAAAACAAAATAAAATAAAATGAAATAAAATAAATAAATAAACAAACCAATTTTAAATGTAAAATTAATTATATATTAAAATTCTTCCATATACATATTGATTATATATCTCTTGCACGCTTTTCTATAGAGCCAGGAGGGCACCTACATCTATTTATATATTTTTTGCTCATATATGCAATTTATATCAAAAAAATCGAAAATGAAATGATTTTTATAATTTCATTTTTTCATTTCATTATGCTTTTTCTGCATTTCCATTTTTTATTCAGTAGCTAAAAGCAATTTTTTCTTTAAGCAGTTTTTTAGGTTTCATTCATTTACGATTTTTTTTCTCTATGCATTTACAATCAAATGTTTGTAAATAATTAAATTTTTGTATTTTCATTTTTTTTAGCCAACAAAATTGGCATAAAGTCATTTAGTTCAGAATAGTCCCAGCTGAAGGCCGAATGCAAATATGTAGTTAGCAAAATGATTTATCAATTGTCACGAACTGCGATTGTCGTCAGGTCTTGTGTAAATTGCACAATTCGCAACTAGTTGCTCGACTGTGATTAGTTTTTGGCCATTTGTCAGCCATTTAGGCAAACACATCGCAGACCTAAAACCAAACTTGAATACAAATTTAAATTTAATCATTATGTTGAAGAGTGCTATAGCTGCTGCTGCTGTTGTTCTTGTTGTTGTTGTCATCATTGATTCCAGTCATGTTGCTTTTGGCTGTGGCCAATTACAAAGCTTTAGCAGGCTGGAGTCAAGCGTAGCCCCAACCGGATGCATTTTATATGCGGCCTATGTAAAATATAAATTATAATTTAATTTTGTTGGACCATTTAATTTGCAGCAGAGCCACACACAGACACACACACATGCACGTACACACATATATGTGAGAGCACTCTAGTTGCCATATACAACATGCAAAAGCATAATGCAATTAAATATTAATCATACGCACTGTGGGTTACTGCAATAGAGGCCGAAGGCCAGCATATTGGCTAACTGCCTGGTAGCTTCAATTGGTGTATCGACAAATTAGCAAATTGCACATACATCAATTGACTAATTAGTGTTAAAAGCAAGAGCTCTCTCTCTCTCTCTGTGTGTGTATGCGTGTGTTTGTGTTTGTGTTTTTGTCTGTGTAATACAGAACACACACACTTCAAGTCCGGAAATAACAGAATTTAGTCGCATATTCATATTGGCCTGGCCTAGCGAGTCGGTGCCAGAATTTACCAAACTAATTTCCTTATTTGACAAATGCGGGTCATGCCGCCCATCCATGCGGGCGGGCGTAACGATTCGAACAGATGCTCTGCCGATTCCATTCCGATTCCGAATGGAAGTGAAAATTTAATTTGCACTTCGCACTTGCAGCGCTTTAATGAGAGCCGCACAATTGCAATTAAAATGGTGAAGCCAAATCGCTTTTAATTTGTATACCCTTTGCCAGTGAAGCTCATACCATGCATTATAACTGGGTCACGAGTATAGAATGCAAAATGCAGAGTGTAAAATGTAAAATGTAAAGTGCATTACGCTTGACTCTTATACAAGCTTTAAAACTGAATTATTTCTAACTGCCACAAATGTCTGAGTTCAGTTTGCGTTTAAGTCTGGATGCTTGGTGAATTTATGGGAACTTAGCGGGCAGAGAAGCTAAAGCTGGCATAAATGCTTGATTTACCGGGGGATTAAAGTTGAGTTGGAATTGGAGCATTAACTATCTTATTTAAAGCCCACTAACATTTTATATCAGGAGTATATTTTGTTTACAGGCGAATCGAAGTGAAAGGTTATTAAAGGAGTCAAGTTACAAGGTCGTCAAACCACGAACTTAAATATAAATTGAGCTACTAAAGTAATCAATAGGAAAGTAATAACAAGGCAAAGTAATCAATAGTTAAGTAAATATATATGTAGTTATTTATATATTTATATACACTGTCATATTCTTTACTATGTAACTTAAGAGTCGTTTGGAACTTAAATTGGAATAATTAATTATTTTTATAAGAGAATTATTTTTGTAGCGGCATTTAAAAAAAAAAAAAAAAAAGAAAAAGGTTTTAAATGTGAACTCAATTTACTATTATCCACACACAAGTTTGCCAAAAATTAGATTTTTTTTTCTCATTCTTTCGACCTGTGTCGACCTTTAATTATCTGCATAATTATAATTATGAATATAATACTACTATCCATTAACTATAATTATTAAATTGTAAACAACA